GAAAATTGAGACGTGAATAGCTTGTGTTCTTTTAAATGGTGTTTTTAGATAACAGAGTGTTAAGTTAGTGTTCATACCATGTGCACCAGTGTTTGTCTAAAATATGAACGCAAATATCAGTATTAAAAAGAAAGCAATGAATGGTTTAATCCAGTACGAAATGTCGAAATTCCATCAGTTTTCTTTCCTTCAGAGACATAATAGGGCTAATTTGGTAAGTAGGACCTACTATCATATATTCATCATCTTTATTCTTAATTTTATTCTTAATTATTTTATTCTTATCTTTAATTAAAATTGTGAAATTTTATGTCCCATTTAATATTTAAGGTCATATTTTACACTTTTTAGGTCATATTTGACATAATTTTGGGTCATAAGTGCATGCATATATTTATAGTTTTTAGGTCATAAAAATCCGGGCCCTATTCATTACCTTGTTCCAAACAGCCGCTCACTGCTACCCATTCCGAGCCAGACAAAATCGCCACCACCCTTTCATCATATTCGTTTCAAATCCATTTTCCCATTTATTTCCCATCTATATCTAGATCTTTCCAAAAGGTTTCTTCGCCTCATGTTCGGTAACTAAAGCCATGTAAACATTCTTCCCTCTTCAGGCGTCCTTCACATCCCCACCTCGTCTTCGTTTCGGTACCGAGGTGCGTCACTGAGACGTATCGTTAGCCCGTTCCATTTCCCCGTTATCTGGTTTCCTTGCACCCATTCGTCTTGTCCTTACATTCGCACTTCCCAGTCTTTCAAGCGACAGGTTTCATAATGATATCCTCGTCTAAATTTTGTAGCAGTTTATTTTTTACTCATCCGAGGTTAGTCACAGTCCAGCATCCCAACGAATTCATATGGGCTGAGAGAAGGAAACTGAATTTTCTATTTAAGTTTGTGCTCCTGCATTCTTCTTGTAGGATTCGATAAACGTACTAGACATCTCAGCATGAAGCTGGGATTCCATAGACCGGCAGAGTGGAAAACGAGACAGCGCCCAACATTAAACTTACCGGCACAGTTATCAAGGTTTTACGGAAACACGACACCTCCTGTTTGAGACGGTGGAGACATCTGTCGCTGATATCCGGCGTCTCACTCTAATGGCGGTATAGAGGAAACAAAGAGCAGAATGGTGGAGGAAATTTCATACATAGGATCTACATAATTTGTGTTCATCGCAAAATGTTACACGACCAATCCACTGCAGTATGATCAGAAGGGTGAGGCGTGGAGATGGACAGAGGAGATGTGAAATGAATAAAATATTTTAGCTGGCAATCCTGCAGAGGTAACAGTTTGGAGAACAAGATGTGGATGGGAGCATAATATTAAAGTGTATATTTGTATATAGTGTGAAATAATATTTACTGGCTCAGGATAGGGATGGATGCGGCCTCATACGTAAACAGTGATAAATCTTCGGGTTCCAAAAAAGGAGGGAAATTTCGTGACCTGCTGAGCCACTATTAGGTTCTCAAGAAGGGGGTCTGTTTCTGTAAACAGCTGTTCGCAGGCGGAAACAGACGCGGATACTTCCTACATCCTCGGCGCGACCTGCAGCAGAATGTTTTATTGTGAACCTTTTCCTTTCTCTCGGGAGACTGGAGTATGAGCAGACAACCAGCTTGTTACAAAGTGTTTCATTTCGAGCTCAGGTACTTCTCGTATTTTTTTTTTATCTTTCAGGGCTCCTTTGTGTTTGACTGATCCGGATGACCTCGCCCCCAGTTAATCCGGATTATCGAGCGCTTGCTGTAATAAATAAAGGATGTTACCGCTTCAGAACAGTTTCAAGCAGTTTCTTATATACAATCGATTTATATCGACGGCTGTTCGATATTTCTCGTCCCGTTCCCAAAAGCGAATTCT